AACACAAAGTGCGGTGTTCACAGCCAGGCTGTATGCTACTGAAGTGTTACCTTCCCAGGATGGAAGGAGGAAAGGGACAGTGACGATTGTGGTGGAATACAAGCCTGGTGCCAGGACTTGTGGAGTTGACGCTGATGAACGACCAGATATCCAGCCATACCAATTGCGCGCGGTACGTCATCATCGATTGTGCGCCAATTGTGGCTCAAAGATCAGGGGATGCTGATTAAGACGGCACCAACAAAATGTGGAATGAATTTCGGGGAGCAATTTTCATGCCGTGGCCATTACCCAAGTACAGTTAAAATTAGCCTTTGCAGTGATTGTCTGCGATCCTTTGGCTGGTTTTTCCTGATGCACTGTGATGCTCATGGAACCTGATATGGTATCCTGGACTAATAGCGCCAGTTGCACCTTTGCTTCCCTTCATAAATGTCTGGGCTGGTAGAGGGCAGTCTGTGTCTTATGAAACAAATCCTGGACCGGCTTTGTGTGCTTTGGAGCGTGCATTCTCGCATTGCAAAATGTGCCACTTTACCCCTTGTGATGCTAGGTGTGTGCTCTTAGCTCTGCAGTGTAGGCTGTATGTGAAGCAATCGAATCTCTGGGTGTCTGCTTTTGAAACTGTTTGTTGGGGATGATGTGTTCAAGCACACCAGAGGTGTACTGGCATGAATCAGGAAGAAAGTAGATCTTGTGGTGCTCATATGGTGCAGGGTGCCTTCTTGACAGCACAAGTGTGCTCTTGCCTCCCTACTCACATTTTTGCATGGCTTGCCGTTATCCTTTATGCAGGGTATAAGCTCCCAGCTATATGATGAACACATAGGAAATTCAGCAAGCATGGGTGGACTTGAAGTGGTGGTGAGTTCAATGTGAATGTATGCATGTATGTACTGATGCTGGTGCCTGTTGCTTGGTGCTGCCTTTTGTCTGCCTGCAGTCACTGTCCACAATCAAAGTTGTCTCTAGCATTGTACGTTTGCCACCTGGCTGATGTCCATTGAAGTCATAACCAGTCGGAAACAAATATGTGAGTAGAATGGAATCAAAACAGCATGTTAAATAGGATGCAGTGTACATACACAGAGCGGAGTACTGCAGAGTATTCCATCCTCTACAAAACCAGACTCATCGAAGCACTAAGCGCATGTGGTCCTTGCCTTGCTCACTCCCATGCAAACTTGTTTTGAACTCAGCACTTGACGTGGATTGCTTCATGGTTGTTGGGAGTGTGATCCATGGCACGGCTTTGGTGTCTGTGGTTCTGCGAGACAGGCCAGCTGTCCAGAACCACGTAGTGGCCTCATAGTGTTTCAGACTTGCCGCAAGTCACAAGCATTAAGGTGCCAGGGCTTCTCGGTGTTGGGTGTATGGAGGCAGAGATGGATTGTGTTAGGGAGACATTCGTGGTCCCCCTGTCAATCCCAAGATGCTCTTGGTGCAGTCTCTGTCCATCGCACCGTCGATTTGGCAAGAATTGTTTTTCAGACTTGTAACGCTTGACATCTCACGGTTTGGGGGCCAAGTGTAACAGCACTTTCTTTGGGTGTTCTATGAGATGCACGATGTGCAAAAACAGCATGGACGTCAGCACTTCCTCGCTGTAACTTCAATGTTGTGTGGGTCAGGTCCCTGTGGTATTGAGCTCCCCATTGCAACGAATTGCAGCACTGGTTGTTGTGTTTTGTTTGTGACACAGCATGTTTTGTTTGTGACACAGCATGGTCTGAGAGCGTACGGGGCAATGGAGTCAGCAAGTTCTGTTGATGGGGCTCTTGCGCAGCAACAATCAGTTTCAACATCGGTGCAGTGTTCCGTGGCGGACGAAGTTGCTGTGCGTTCTGAAAACCACGATGATGGGGGCAGTGGCTTCAATGGTGATGTGCAGCCAGCGACGGCGGCTGACTGAACTTTAATTTTGGACATCAAACTGGCACATGCGAGATTTCAGGTGGAAGCGCTCCAGGAACCAGGCCCACAGATGTCACTACGACACTGGAGGGTAAGTGGAATTCGCAGTGGAGTATGAGCTGGAGCTGGTGTGTTGGCGTATGCTTTCCTGCCCGGCCCTGTATACAATAATCCATGTAGGGGAGAAGGATAGCTGTGCTGTTTTGAAGCCCTTCGCTGTTTGATCCCCACCGGTGGGTACTGAGTAGCCAGCAGCTGTTGCAGCATCTCTTGAAGGGTCACAGCCAGAGATTGTGCACTGTGATGCATGCGGCGGCTTTCACGATTGTTGCCTGCAAACATGATCAGTTTGGCATTGTAGAACAAGAGATGGTCAGATTTTCAGTATACTACTCAGCAATAGTACTCAGTGTACTGTGACACGCTGCACTGTATTATTCCATTTTGTACACCATTGTGTCGTGCGATACCATAGTATGATAACTGTACTGGGAGATATTCTCTCATGCATTTAGGAATGCCTGTACTTCCGTTGAGGAGATAAGATGGTCAAAATAGATGGTACCCCAAGCAACAGGAGACTGGCCTGCGTCCTCTGGTGTGCAGAAGTGGCGTAGTCTGTCATGGTCATCGCCCCATTAACCATGAAGTGTATTTCAGCTGGCAATCCTTTTCAATACGAACAAGTGTGTTCGCTGCTTTCCTCAGTTATCAGTATGTACATATCACAGCATTTTTTGGCCCTTTGTTCGTAAGGTAAGGTTATTTTAGTGCAAGCACAGCATACACAAGCTTGAGGGAGATACGGGAAACATGGCTGTGACAACAGACGGCTGAACGACATCTGACCGCACAACACTCTTGCTGCTGACTCATAGCTCTGATGTACTGCAAAGAAAGATGGCATTCCCACTGATGTCCAATGCCAAGATGATCCATTGTTCTTCCCACGAGTTGCCTGCCTTTTCACGCATTACTTCAAACGAGAGGGCTACAGGGTGATTCGTGGGTGGGTGGGCCGGGTACGTGGGGTGGGCTGGGGCTCTGGGCTGAACCACGAGACGATCTATGCATATGGTGTTAACAATGAAATCATGTTGGGCATGCAGACTGGGTACTATCCAGTGGATAGGAAGCTTTGTTGGCGGCCAAGATAGCAAAGGAACGGCCAAGCATGTCACTTTGCCGTCATTTGGCTGGCGAACTGAGGAGTCACTGTGTCCCTTTCAACAGGGTCCCTGCGTGGGAGGGGAGGGTCGTCGATTCCAGGCAACGGCTATCCTTCACCAAGGTTTGGTCCAGAATGATGGCTGGCATGAGCACGAAATACTGGTTGGAAGGTGGGGTGACTTGCAGTCAGCAGAACTCCCCGGCAAGATTTTTAGCCACAGAATGTGGCCTTTTGGCGGACTGTTTATATTTATGGACGAGCATGTCACAGAATGGGTGTTGGGCTCGGTTCCTGCGCTTCTGAGAGCTCTCTGTAGAGGGCTATTCATTGGTGCTCTTTGTGACAACGCGGCTGCCCCCACGCTAAGAAACTGAGGGAAGAATATCTGTTGATTAGTGCCGTCGTGTTTGATTGTCTGCATGCACCTCGCAGTTGTTGTTGGCGGCTGCTGAAATTGAGATGTTGGTTGATTTTGCGTGATTTTGGTTCGCTGGAGCGCATGGGTACCATGCAAGCAGGGTCCTTACGGATACACATTCAGTTTTCGAACAGGCAGAGGTCAACGAATCCGCTGTGTGCAGATCTGTTCACAAAGCCCTTTCGTGAGCATTGCATTGGAGCAAAACGCCAGGCTGGGAGTATTGTTGAATCATGCATCCACAGATGAATTTGCGTTTGTGGTATCAGCATTTGTTTGCGGATAGGGTGGCGTTGGCTGGGACGTCTCATCTGCTGGATAATCACTCGTTCCTACGAGGCCATTATGAGACGCTTCTCGGCGTTTCCAATACATTGCACTTTGAGGGGAGGAGGGGGGACCACGAATGCTGCCCGTGTGTGCCTGCGGGCACAAGGGAGTCAAAAGTGCTGCGTGGGCAATGACTGAGAAATTGGCCCATGGCATTTTGCCATCACCAAAAGCGTCCCTTAGCTTGTCCTACCAACCTGATGATGAACGCTGGCGCTTTTTCCTACGGATGGCAACAAGCTCTCAGCATGTTCATTTCACCCAGGCATTCCGTCGGAATTTGTTGTTCAGAACAGGCAGTGTTCGGGTTGCCACGAAGCCCGCCAGATTGTTGGAAGTGGAGTTATGGTCGCAAGTGCTTGAATGTGCAAACAAGATGAATAGTTTGTGACCAATCAGCACCAACCGCGTCTGTGTACGCACAGTCACATTGTGTCAGGGTCCGGAAGCGCAAGTTCATTTCTGCACAAACGAATTTTCGCCCTCTTGGCAGTGTAGGCTGCACACAAGATCCCGCATAACTAGGAGAATTGCTAGTTCCTGCAACGGCGAGCAAGGCACTACTCCAGCCAGCCAAGCTGCAAGAAGCATCTGCCCGCGATCCAAAGGATCTCCAGAAAATTAACATTGTTAAAAGAAGTTCAGCACATCAGTAGCGGTTCCCACTGAACGACCAACAGAGTTGCCCAGCGCCATCCCACATCACTACTAGAATTCCGTCGGTATCTCAACCGGCCAGTACATGTGGAGATTGTGGCGATGTCCATGATAACAACCATGCCGCGCGTGCATGTGTATGGATCTTCGCTTCTGAGGCATACAATCGAGGTCCACAGAGTGCCACACGACCCTATCCAGAGCAATAAATGAATGGCGCCTCCCAAGGAGTGTACGAGTGCGTGAAACCCATATTAGGAACTGTGTGCCAGAACTGCACCCAGAATTCTTGCAAACAATGCACGTGTCTAGCTTGCCCAACCACGTAAGGCTTTGTGCATGTGCTCATTGGCCACTGCTGGCCGCCATCATTGCGCAGCTAAAAAAGCAGTCGCCGTACCAAAAAGGAAGAAGCCCGTTGCACACCAGTCATGCCCCATGACGAAAATGTTCCACTACCAGGCTACCCAACAACAACTTCCCCACAGCCACATGAGAAACACCTTAGGATCAGCCAAAATCGATTTGCGCTCCCAGCTCTTCGTCACCAACCTCTGAAGTTACGGATGTGTTGCGGCCCACACTGTACGAGTCCGATGTGAAATCATCAAGGGATACCTTGGTGAACCCAGCAGGTATCTGGAACCACTTTTCGTCTGGCCTCTGGCGGGAGAGTCTGAATTTCTTGAAGCTAACCAGCAGGTACACAGTCCACATCAAGGGAACCTGAAAGCCCACAACATATCATATCAACTCAACTGCACATGCAGTCAACCGGTGTGTGGAATTCAAAACCCATCAACCAACAATTCCAACCCCTGCAGCGATCCTCTCAGTAAGCGTCCACACTTTTTCCCCTTCGCTGCCCAAGGCTATTTTGTTGTGCAGTGTTTCAGCACTGGACTGCAACCATTCGCGCTGAAGTACAGGAGCACACTGGCAGCGTGCCAGCAGAGTTCCAGAGGATGTGCGAGCTTGCGGAGTACTTTGCAGCCAGAAACTTACCTGTATTCGAACAGGGAACATTTTCATGTCTCCGTACTTGCGCATGAACCTTGCCGCCATTCCAAGGTGCTTGTTGGCATGGCCAACAACGTCCAGAAGCGGCAGAAGCTGCTGCAGCGACATGGGGAAGTTTTCTGCCATCCAGCAACGCCCCGTGAATTTTTTGGGCTTGGCTTGGGCCTTCTGCCCCTTGCCTCCATTCGGAGCACCCTGTTTAGCGTGCACAGGGGGCACTAACTGTCAGAGATGCCCACTGGGGACATTAACTGTCAGAGATGCCCAGACCTGCAGTGCCCTCAAGCTGCATTGAAGGCTCGTGCTCTTGCATATATGCGACATCAAATGGCACACACGCAGAGCAGCTGGGGAAAGATGGGAATGGGGAGGTTCTTGTGCTGGTGTGTACTACAATAACATCTACTGTTATCTGAAAGGTGCCCCATCTGGCCAAAGAAACTGCTTGCCCTTCAAAAGTCACCTTTCCATGCAATAGGACTTTAAACCACAGGCCCTTTGTGCACCTGCAAGACAAGCTCAGTGCAGTGCTAGATAGCATATATACAAACATTGCAACCAACAATTGGAAGCCACAGCAGTAACTGCAAATTGTTCAACAAGTTTGCACCTGGCTGGCAAGGAGAATAATGTGTCAAATGCAAGCAAGCAGACTCCTTGGACAGATAACAAGTCAATGCATGTCAACACAGGTGGAGAGTTAGATCTCATCTAGTACCTACATTTAGAGAAGTTGGGTTTACTGGCAGCTCCATGGATGTGTCCTGTGGCATGTTGATTGCCAGGTACTCTTCAAATGTTGCAAGCCTAGGGATTCGCCAGTCTTGCTTAACACATGTCACAGCCATCATCTTGCCTGACGCCTCATACACTTTTGTGGTCCACCCTTCAATCTTTTCAGAAAGTACACCCCCCGCCCATCCTTTCACTGGCTTGAACCTGCACGAGCAAACATCCTCAGCAGTTTTTAAACACAGCAGGTAGACCTACCACACACAACGCAACTGTACAACCTGCAGGGCACACTGCCAAAACGATAAAGACGGCAAATGCGATAACGGTTTCGTGGCACATGAGCAAAGGCTGTGCTGCTCTGTGAACTGTAATGTATTAATGCAACAATGACAGTGAGGCAACACGTAGAAACAAACTCTGGGTGTGACAGGGTGCACCTGGCCTGTACACCTGCTACTAGAAGGTGAGTGCAGTGAAGGAATACACACCTAAAGTTGACAGCCCTCAATTTTGTTCGACCGGCACCTTCTGAAATAACTGCATCAACATCAAATTCTCCAGCTTGTTTCCTTCGCTGCTTCTCTTCTGTCACATCTAGGTACATCTCCCTTGTGTGATCCACCAAGCAAAGCTGGGCTGGCGTCTTTATCCCATCGAATAGCAAACTGAACTTTCCACGCTTCCACTCTGGCAAGATTCTGGCGGAACTCTTGTCAATGCCCATGAGCGTGCCATCCACACGGATCTTTGTACCCTGCTTCCAGATAGTGTAGGTATCATAAGGTGCCCACTTCCGCAGCAGGAATCCAAGAACAGGACTTCCCAACTGCCATGTCAGCTGCACACCAACACACAGGGTTTCAACATGTACTCTTCAACCCAGAACAACTGCTCAAGATGGTCCTGACTACCGAGATTGCCATCGTACCAATGAAACTCATAACAGTTTGCCATTGGCAAGGGATGCAGCGAACTGAGTGTCTTGCTTTACCAATGAAACCTCATGTGAGGAAATTGTTCGGACAACACAGAACAGCTAGCATCGTGTTGGGACCACAATGAACAGCCAGCATCGTATTGGGACTGCAATCAATGCCAGCAGAAAGCTGGGATGGTTATGAACATGAAACATCTGTATGCCAATAATCAGAGGCAAAGTCATCTGAATGCAGAAACTCACTGTGCCAAATCTGGGCAAACCCAGGAGCACAGTATCCAGCAAGTCCTCACCTCCATCGAGTAGTCTGGCATACCACTCAGAGTTTTCAACAGCTGTTGTTTTGCACCTTTGAGCTCGTCCTTGATTTCCTGGACGCCATACTTGTAGAGAAGTGTGACAAGGGCCCTGTTCTTCATGGAGATAGCCTCATCAAGAGCTGTCCAACCTCTCTCATTCCTAATCTTTGATGGAACTCCGACACCTAGGAGTGCTTCAACAGCCACACGATTCTGTCTCATGACTGCAATATGCAGGGCCTGGACTTGCACAACAAAGCAACGTCCTTATCGGATAATGTTTGTCACAGGACAAAACGCAGAAGCCCTTTCAACACATTCGTGTTGTTGGAAATGGTCTCAAGCACTTGGGTGCAGGGTTCTACGCAAGCACCAAAGGACAACAGCACGTCGTGCCAATGGGTCAGCTGAAGGCGCATCAGGATCATCAGTGTCGCCAGGGACCAAGCCACAATCTAAAGGGTTCAGACTGGCAAGACTGGCACCAAATCTAAAGCTAAACCACTCCAGATCGCAGTGGATGCTTGGTCCTAACGGCAGAAGGCTGTGTTTCTTCGCACCTACCGTGTTCCCATGTGGATCTTTCTCAACCAGCTGCTCCCGTGATGCCGTCGCGATGAGGCTCTTCATCACTGAATGATCCCCATCATAGGCGGCCCTTCCGAGCAAAAATCAGCAAAGCACTTTAGCCATGGTTATCTTCGCAAGCACGAATCTTTTCTGGTGAGAAGAATCTGTGCCCCACGGACTGTTCTGCAGGCGTGCCATAACGCAAAATGCCAAATATGGAATACTACAAGCATAGACCAATGGAGATATTGAGATATCAGCTCCCTCCGGAAGCGAACATCAAGATGAGACCTATCAACCTTATCTCCACGACTGACTCTGAAGCTTACATGTGGAGTGGAAAGCTGCAATGGGTCACGGTGTAGTCGAGCGATTCTGCATCTTCTGCGTCAAGCACCCAGATGGGCACGTCGTCATCGCCGTCGTCTCCACCTGATCGAAGCAGAAAAATGCGCTTTGGTCGCACACTGCGCCGGTTGACGTAACAATGCACCGCCGCGGCCCGCTTTGAGCCTACGTCGGCAGCACCTACATACCAGGATGCTCAGCGTCGCCCTCCCCATCCAACCGCGCGTCCACGAATTGGTCCTCTTCATCCTCAACATCTTCCTCCACGTCGTAGAAGACGTCATCGGCATCGCTGTCACTCTGCATGCTCAGCTGCCCGCTTGCCGCGCCGACCGCAAGGGGGCCAATGGGCGCGATCCCGCGCAACTGATTTGCTTTCCCGGCACTCTTCTGTGGAGAGGTTGACCCGCCTCTGTCCTTCAGCGCGCGAGGTCTTCTCTAACCCACCAGTTTGGGGTTATCCGCCACCATCCGTGCCCTCCTGCCTGTCGGGGCGGGTGAACCAACGATTTCGAGCCCCACCTCCATTCCCAAGAAAGCAGGCAATGGACATCACACGAGTTGGGGCTCCGGTGTCACGTGAATCAGCCCTTGTATCGCCACGCGGCCCTGGTGCCAGCTGGCAAGCGAGCGCGACCACTCCCCCCCCTGATGAAGTTGAAGCACTGGTCCCATGGACGAGACTTGCGGCCGCCGGGCACCCAAGTGTGCACATTATTTTTAGGTTTCGGGCGCAGTCGTCGGAAGCCGGTGATGCGTCCCGAGCGTGTCCGATTGCCAAAACGGCGGGTGCCTATGTTCTGGGTTATTGACATTCCCCAAGCACGTTGCACATTTGTTTTATGACACATGACCGACATGGACATTGACAGCCACGGACTACCTGGTAAGCCCTTCAAGGGCTAAACTGGTGCCCAGCGCCAGGCACTCCCCTCTAAACACCCCTTCAAGGGGTGTCGGACGTTCCACAGGTCAGTTGAAGCGTCCAAATGCGTGTGGCGCCCTACCACATACAATAGACATCTGAGGCAGCCCCCTCATGCCATGCTTGTACCGCATACCATGGATGCGTTAGGCCTCTCAACCGCCTAGGCTGGGGGCAGAAGTGGTAGTTATGCGCCGGCGTCGATTCTGGTGAGTTTTCTTATCTCTTCCGCTTCTTCGTGCGAGTGCTTGTGCTAAGGGACTGCTGCTTTTCGGATGAGCTTGGTCCCTTTTGTGCCACAATGTTCCACGATCTGAGGCCTGATGGCTTTACTTTGGTGCTCACCGCCGGTTTTCGTGGCGCAAATTGGACTCTGTTTGTCTTTATGACTGAAAAAACGCAAAAAATTGGTTGGTGATTGTTGTGTCCGCCATCGCCTCTCAAGGTGCAAGGGCCTGCTGTTTGTTATGCCTTTTGGATAAATGTAACAAACGGAATCCAGGCGCACAAGACCACACACCAACCAACCACCCTTGGCGCCAACTTGACATTTCCCGTGATCGCACCACCACACTGTCCCTGTGCAGAAAGGAGCATGCCTTTCCTATCGCCTCTAGACGTTGCTGTGGAGAGGTAACATCCACAGTTTCGCTCTTGTTTTCGGCCCTCCTGTGTTCCACATTATTGGAGTGATTGTGGCCCACACTATGCGAACCATAGGGGAGGGCCAAAATACGGAGGACGCAACCCCTCCACAGCCACAACCCGAATTGATCAGAATGGTCCTTGCCAGGCATATTGTGCAGCTGATTTCCACTAATAGGAACAGCGGTCCAGCAGGAGACATGGAAGATTGAACAGCGGTGTACGCAGCTATTTGTGCCACATACTGCAATTTCATCTTCAATGGAGTGTACCAGGTGAGCGACAGTAAGTCTATGGCTAGAATGAATGTAGCGCCATTACCTGCCGTGCGAGCAGAGAGCAGCCAATAGATGTCATTCAGCAGCTGCTAACCGACCTGCAGAACACTGACGATGCACACCTCCATCAGTGGTTGCTGCTGCTGTTTAAACATGCATTTGACCAAGCAGTGGGATCGAGCGCTCGGCGTTCAAAACACTGAGCTGAGGAAAGAAGTTCCACAGCCAGATGCTGGCAGTGCAACAAACTGGGGAATTATGCCAGTCAGAGGAGTTCACCGTCCCTGGCCGCGAATCCCTCATCAGATGCCAAATTCAAGCTTCAGTTACATTTCCACTCTGTCCAGAGGATGAATCCTGTCCCAATGGATAGTCCATGCAATGTCCACAAAATTGCAGGGGTCGAAATGCACGAATCACAGCAGCACAATGGTGGTGCTGCTGTGGACGGTGACTGTCCGCTTTATTGCGCTGCCAGCATGCTGTCAGCCAATTCGGCAACCAGACTTCCAGTTGCCAGCAATGTGCAGGGCCTGACTTTCTTGTCCACATTTCCAAACGAGCAGCTTCTAAGTCTGTTCGATGTCTTCAAGTGGGTCAATGTGAATTGTTGGAACATGTGGACATGGTACTAACAGAGTGACAAGAAAACCATCGGTTCAATGCTGTCCGTTCAGCAGACAGTGCAATGGCCAGAACCCCAACGCCACAAGATTGTAATGGGACATTGCGGATTGCTTTTCGTGGCACTCAGGCGTTTCACGTTCCAGCCACTTCTACCCAAACGTAAACGACTCTGATGATGAGCATTGGGCAAGCAGGGTCTATGCCATGCACCCAGGCTTATGCAGTGTACAATACTCTAGAATAGTCTATCAAGATTGCACAGTATCACTTCACACTAGTGCCAACAGCAGCGATGAGCTCCTCCACTTGGTGGGCCTCGGGTTGTGCCTCAACTGCGCCTGGTTTGGTGGTCGTGATACCACCACATGCAGAAGCAAAACGAACAGCGTTGTCTAAAACCTCGGGAATTCCCGTCAAAGCATCCAAGCCTCCAGCCTGGGCAGTGAAAGCAATGAAAGATCAACCAGCATGTACATGGCAGGTGGACAGAACAATAAAAGAAGGGTACAAGGCCATCATGCTGACCACATGGTCAGGGACTCACCCTGCAGCCGCATAAAAGGAATCTCCAGATTCTGCTCCCATGGAATAAAACTGTGGGTTCAATGACCCCAGGTGATTTCACAATGCCCTCAGCAGCGGCACTTCCACAAAGTGCCATGATTTGGTACCTTGTATGGATTGTGCTGCAATGTGCATTCATCAACTGGCAATCCTGTGAGAAGAGGCAATTGAGGCCCACATCTTGGCAAAACAACACAGCAAAAGGGTGGATACCAAGCGAACCTGCAGCAGTTTGTGTATGAAGCCAGCAGTGAAGGCATCTCCAGCACCAGTTGTGTCAAGAACCTCAACAGGGTATGCGGGAATGGACCCAGACAAGGACACTTTGCCAGCAGAGAAGCAATAGGCAGCTCCCTTCGGCCCTCCTGTCACCAGGACCCCCTTGGCATTTGGCAGCATGTCATGGACCTGGCATATCATAACCAAGTTGGCAAAAGTGCAACTCGCACTTGCATTGGTGTCAAAGCAAGGTCCATGTGTGCAGCAACAGCTTCCAAAGTCAATGCGCAAATGAGCAGTAGTGGGACGACTGTGTCAGTTCCAAGCCTATTTCGTGTGTGCAGGACATAGCAAATGTGCTGTAGAATTCCTTGCAATGGGCTCATTGCCTTGCCCAAAGACTGCACGCCATTTGTCACCTTGCATGGATCTTGGAATACATTGTTGGCATCAATTCCAAACAGCCACTCCACCTCCTCGTCCGTTAGCTTCACTATGTCTGCTTGCTGCACGAACTCTTCCACCACAGGCCGTGCCGATTCCGGCTTTTCAAAAAACACAGGTCGCCAATTCACATCCACAAGCACCAAGCCACCTTCTGAATGTGCAACTTCCATTGCCTTGCGCATACTGGCTGCTGTTGTTGGGTATGCCAATCCCAACGTTCCCATGACCACAACACTGGCCCCCTGACCAATGCACAACAGAGTGTCAAAGGAGGTTCGAAACATATCATGCCCTTAGATCCCATCTGGAACCGGTTTCTGTACGTCTGGTAGAAGCAAAAGGGACTGCCGCATTTGTTGCTTGCTAGTCAACAATACAACACTTTGGATAGGTCACAAAATGGCACAGTTTGTCCACTGACCTTGATGCCGCTATTGGGCACTTTCTCAATTTCTAAGAAGCAGTCGCAGTATTGGGTCGTTGGCAAGCCGAACCCGCAGAATGTTCTTTCGCCAGCAGATGTTCTTTCCACATACACATCACGAGTAGGCTCTGCTCTTCGCAGGACACCTTCCAAGTTCACGCCACGGTCTGCAACCACATCCCAACTTTGATCACACCTGTCAATAATGTCATTATACATTTTCTGACAGGGAGCCTGAGCATGTACTGAAAATGGATCAGATGTGACCCATGCATATTGACAATTTTCCTGCAACACTTTCCTGTAACATTCAATCAACCTGCACAGCTGATGCAGCACATGAACAGCTGGACCAAAGCTTCATCCATTCAAGGGTGGCGAAGAAGCAGTTTGCATCATGCACATAGGGTGCTTTTGAGTCTGGCGAAGATCGTCTCCAGAGAGCAAGCTGGGTGGTAGGCAACAACAGGGAGGCCTTGGCTGCCCGGTGGTGCCTAAAATACGCGATTCTCACGCACTCAGGCATCCGCAATGACTCCTCTTGGATATTGTGCGACGATCTAGAGCTCAACGCCACTCACCGTTCAGCAGCTGGAACAGCTGATCGCCGCGCTCGTCGTTTCCCAGTGCCGTGATGAGCTGCACACTCCCTCCCAGCCTGGCGACAGCAGTCGCGACATTGAGCGTCGCGCCACCTGCCTTAGGCGTCCATGACTTCACCTCCTCGCGAGGCACATCGAAGTCGTTCGCGAGCATGTCTGCGGCGCACACACGCACCGGGCTCCTCGTCAAACACGCAGCCATCGGCACGTCCGCCGCGCAGTTAATCCATGTCTCCCTGCATCCGTGCCAAAGCAGCACAGACCAGGCCACTGGGGGTTCCAGCCCATTCAAAACTCACCAAAAAGCGACTCCCCGAGGCAGACGACTTCCACCCTTCCATCTTGATCGCCTCTGCAGAGCACGCGGAGACCCGCGAAGCGGCAGCCTGACGAGGGGGTCGGGCGACGCGTCGCAGGCAGGCCGTGGCCCACGCACCAGCCCCAGCGACCCTGCTGTGCCTTGAGGAGAGGTGCGCGGACTGCACTGCGCTGTGCGCAGACCGGGCCCAACCGACCCGGACGACCTGCCATGTTACGGATTGTGTGCGCCGGTGGCTCGGTGCAGGTTGCCATTACATGGGTGACGCGACAGCGTAACGATCCTCAGAGTGCTAATGTGGTAACTGATGGCGTAACTCGGGAGAGCTATCGTTGCAGACCCAAGCAGCAGCTGCGATTTGTGGGCGGGCGCCATGCTGCGCATCCTGCAGTCCGTGGGGCGCCATGTCGGCGGCCCTGAAAGCAGCCGAAGGTCAGAACACCTCGAGCTTTCAAGGGCTGCTTAGTGCATAAGGATTCCATCGCTGATGGCACAACACCTGGAAAGCCACTTGCAGGTTGTGGAGCAGAGCTGTGGAGGCAGCCAGTCGTAATTCTACAGATGGACTGGACAGGATTGAGCTCAGGGGACTGACATTCTTTGGCTATCATGGTGTCCTGCCCGAGGTATGCAATTGCCAGAGGGCAAGATTGTTGGACCCCAGCAGTGGGGGGTAATCCTGCAGCATTGTCACTGGCCCAGCAGTACAGCATGCTGTTGATTACCCCCACATGAACGGTGGCCTCAATTTCCTAAGCCCTGGTTTGTCTACTGTGTTGAAGGAGCAAAAACTGGGACAGCGGTTCATAGTGGATGCCACATTGTTCTGTGATCTTTCTGCTGCTGCTGAGCATGACAGCATTGACCGCACAGTGGACTACTCCAAGGCACACAGGTATGTCTGTATTGACTATCTGTTGCCCAGCAAAGCGTGAGTCGCAGTCTCTGCACATGACACATGCACCTTGAATATGTGCAGGTTGTCCCTGGAATACCGTGACGAGTGCTTCTGGCCACACAGTCCTGCATTGTTGTGACAGTTTTAGTCTTGGCTGATGAACAGCAGGTACCGATGTCAGCCAGTACAACATCATTATTGCCATGACACAGGCCCCATCTGGTTGCTGAATTGTGCCATGTGTAATTGGTGCTGGAACAGGCAGATCGCCAGCATCGTAGAGGGTGAACCAGTGAAGCTGATTGAGTCACTTGCAGACAGGATCGCATCAGCCCTTCTATCAACCCAAAATGAATTGGCAGCTGTTGAAATCAGAGTTATCAAGCCTCAGGTTCCCATTGCTGGTACTCTGGACTCAGTAGGTATGCTTGGCGCAGATTGAATGAGTGAATGTATCCTTAAAATCAACACGAAAATTTGACAAATTGATCATGACACATGCTTCTACTGAATTCAAATCGTCAGACATTGTCAGGTTTCTAGCAGCCAGCCCATGGTTGCCATAGCCAGGAAAAACACACCAACCCCCACGTCATCAGAGCATGCAAGCACACAGGTCCACAAGTAGCAAAAGCACATTTGTCGCAGGTGGAGAACTCAGCTGTGTGTCAACCAATAAGAAATTTGGTGTCATGAACTCGAACAATGTGGGATCGAACACATGTGTTTGGGAGCACTGCCTGACATCAGGAGTTTGGTAAAAAGGCTTTGGTTGTGCAATGTGATGAATGCATTCGAAATAAGGATTTGTGTCTCATGGATATCAACACACTTTGTGTTATTCCAACAAGAAGGTTTGGCTGTACCATGGGGTTCGTCTTGGCACTGCCACAACCTGCTGTGGCAACAGTAGTTTCCAGATCCAGGTCACACAGATGTATTTTGCCTGTCCTGATGACAAATACAATAATAGTACAAAAGTAATCCTGCAATTTCGCTGCACATGTTACATGGGGCAAGTTGTGGTTGCTAGCCTGAGAATGGGAGTTGTTTTGTTGATCAGTTTTTTGACAAATTCCTGTATGGGCTTGGCCATGGTACAAGGATGTAAATTGTTGGATGAACTGCTAACTAGTCAACTATTGGCAGCCAAGCTAGTTTTTTGTGATGAAAGCAGAGGCGCAAGAACTTGAATTCTGATGAAGATTCTCATATGCCACAGTTTGTCTTGCTGACAAAATAGGAACGACCTCAGCAGAGCCACACTGAATCAGTATCTTATTCTTGCAGTTTCTCTTGCTCATGTGACTGCCTTGCTCCTGCTGTTTGATGGCACGTGGAATATTCTTGGTCATCAGGTGTGGTCATAAGGCGTTGGAGTGAAGGGCTGAGGACAGCGCCTGCGATGGAACATGTATAGCCACTTGCTGGGCCGTTCTCTAGAAACCATCCAGCCACCCAGACAATCTCTGGCCATACGCACAGTCCCTGGAACTGACGAGTGAACCCGTTTGTTTGACTTCCACATCGGTCATCTGGTATTGGTGACACCAATTTGGTGTTGCTGACAGGCAGATGTTCGAACCGAATCTTGGAGTACTGGGAAGTCACAAGTGGATGCTTGTGATGTGAGAGATTATGTAGCACTATTTCTGTGAAACAGAACACCGCCTTTTGTGCTATTGGGAGTTGCCCATCGGCCACTGTGAAATGATTGTTTCCTTGAGGGGCTGGCTGGCTGTCCATGCATCGGCGCCATACACATGTTGCTTCCACAGAGATATGTTTGGGAAACTTCCTGGTGAAAGCTAGATTACAGATAGCCACCCAGGCTCTCAGGTACAGCATGTGGAATTAGATCCATCGACTGCACACGATCTGCTTACATCAGGCCTGCCTCTGGTTGTGAGTGGTGTGCATTCAGGATCCCTGCCATTGACAGTCGACACAAAAGAATGTCTCTGCTGCACTGACACTTGTGTTGCAGAAATGTCCTTGGAACATCATGAATCTAATTCTGTTGATTTGTGGATTGTGATTGCGTAGATTTGTGGATTCCATTCAATTTCTGAGTGGGCATGTTTTCTCCGTATAGCGTAAGCAGTTCAATTTCATCAAGCAAAATGCCATTTGCACGTCGTTGGTGGCCACAGGTGTTGCAGAAACGAGTAGGTTTGAAGCAAAATCCTTTGAGCTGATCAGCAGCTGCGCTACCTTCCCTAGCCAGCCTTGTAACTTACATGCTCCTGTGCCCAAAAAAGTCAGGCTTGGCCTAAGGGGTCAGAAATGAATTTCGACATGACCAGGGACGAGAACACGTTTCTAAACCGAAGGGGTTTGACCTCCTTGCAAACAACCGGGAGCAATAGCAGAATTGTGCACAGGCAGTGTGATGTGGTGGGCAGCCAATTGACATGGCTGGAGAACCCGAACTTGCAAACAAACAATTGTGAGGCTCGATAGTGCTCGTTCCTCAGGCGACCATACTGGTTACAATGGGTTGGCAGGATGTGTTGCGAAAGTGGGCAAGTATGGATATTCCTTGACACAGGCGTGGCAACCTTCCTTTTGCAGTTGTGCAGAGATGAGGCACCTGCTACATAGCTTGGAAGCCTGTCGACACCATGCTTGCACTTGAACCCCAGGTTCAAGTGCGAAGTTTGGATCATCTGCACCAACTGGATTGGACTCAGCTACTGCTTGCTGCCCACAGACCGTCAAACTTGTGCGCATCTTTCTGTGCTGCAAGCTGTACATTCGTACCAGCTGTCACACTAACGCTGGCAACGTGCTCTACAGCAGAAGTGAAACGACTTATTTCGACAAAGGAAACAAACCCTATCAAGTGCAAGAGGCTGCGCTCAATAGTACAAGGAACTCCACTGCTTCAACTAGCTTTCTTGTATTGATACTCTATATGTTTGCACATTATCTGTCCCATCTTCAGATAGAATCGCCATGTCAGGGACTGCAGTGCCAGTGGTCCTGCCTCTGTTGTCACAAGCTGAAGAACAGCTGAACAAGGCCTTTGAGGTACATGACAATCTCTGCCCCTCCCAGTTTGGATTCACCATACAAACGGTCAACAAAGACAATGGGGACCTGCAAGAACAGACAAACACTGCATTTCAAATTGAGGCCCTGAGAACTGCACAAAATTACTGCATTGCATCATTCGTTGCATCCCAAGAAAGGCAGTGCGGAGTCCTTGGCTAGGGGCTTTGGACAATTGTCTCTGACTTGCAGGCGCCAACAGCTGCGAGAATAGGAGCAATATGCCAAAAGCTGCTAGTATGAATATATCTAGCCAGCCAGTATGGTAGACTGCCCTGGGGGATCGATGGCAAAGAGGAAGGGACAACTGCCTGTTGCAGCAACTGCAACTTCTTGCAGCAACAGCTGCTGTCAAATGGAGGCGCACGCCACCCGTATCTGTTGTCACGGCCGATGGCGCTGCGATGGGGCGGATGCTGCGGCCCCTCCTTGCCCAGTGGCTGGCGGATCGATCGCCGGCGCTCTCCGGGGATGTGCTGCGGGCTTGGCCGGGCAAGCGCCCGTTCGCTGCGACGTGGGCCTAGCTGTTCGCTTGGGGATCGGCCCCGGGTGGCGCCATCGGCCACAACATCTGTCCCCATTTCCTTTGTCCAATTGGCGCTTTGACAAGAAACCAACATGCCCAGAATGGAACAGATGGGAAAGCTTGGGGCAATTGTCTTCTGGATACACCCACCTCTTCCACTTTGTAGCCCATGTGGCTTGCACGCACAATTATTTCCATCTGAAACGCGTATCCCTGCAATCGGCAAACACGTTGAAATCACTTGTGCAGTGTTTCTTGCCATGGACCCCACTGTACGACAATCCAATGCTCCCTTTGGGACTGCAAGGCGCCTATTGGCATCGCACACATAACATTTGCTCACAATCGCCACAGACATCTAGACAATGTTGGTGCCTTATGTAGTGTCAGCTGTGAGTACAGTGCACAGCTCAGGGTGTTGCATGGTTGATTACAGAGACAAACTGCCCCATAACAATGTGAGTCTGTCTTTGGTGTGCTTGCCGATTGTGGGCAATGTATCACTTCCACACGGACATCCATTTAACAATTGTGCAGAGACCACAAACATCTGCCAGCGACCTCGCAGCTATTTTCCACCATCACAGAACGCAGTCTTTCATACCCTGGACACATGTCAAGCATGGCCAATATTAAACATGCACTGCAATGCTTGGCGACATCTTCAATGTGCTGTCATCACCTCTTGCTTCATTTTAAAAGACTGGTGATCGCAAACAACTGCTGCAACAGCAAAAGCCATCGCAGCCTAAGAATGGTATGGTCTGCGCCCATGAATCATGCAGCTCAACTGGGCAATTGAATATCCTCATTGGACATATGCTCCGAATCTATGCTGCCACATACCCTAGGGAGCCAGACAATGGCAATGGCCCCTGTCTATTGCCTGGGCATCAATTGCAAAGCCCAGTGCACAGTTTGTACTCAAACATTGAACCCACAAGCCAGGAAGGCTCCCCATCATATGCTATGGGCGTCAATTCAAGTATTGTGTACAATCAATTATTGTGTACACTATGCAATGAAAAATTTTAGATAGGCGATATTCTCAAAAGTAGTTGGATAGGAAAGCCTTGTGCAATAACCCCTCATCTCACTGTCCTGGGTGGCAAGATCACATGCTGCGGCCCTTAGAAAGTTGTTTGGAACACTCTGCATCTTGTGATTACTTGTGGTTACATTCGATCACTGAGTTACAAAACAACCCACGAATCGAGGAACAACCCATCTAATAACAACAGAGCCTCCACTTGCTTCAAGGTTGGCTTGTGCAGCACGCCAAGTACTGTCACTCAGTTGAGACTACCAAATTAAGTACTTCCGCCAGCAGCTCACTTTCGATTTGGTGTCCTGCATGAGTTTCTGGATGCACTCTTTGCGGAAAAGCCTGAATGACCCTGTCAGGTCGGAAACCTGTGAATGCACAAATCAGTCATGAGGATCACCTTGCAAGTCAAGATGAGTTGCAGCAACAGCCAAGAGGTTTGGAGTCACGACGTGGGGGATGGCCACACTTGGCTGTCAGTCTCCAAGTTGTTCCCTAATAATATCATATTGTTGGTTCACTGCAGTGCGACACGTGAGGTTGCTTGCATGCAGCTGTCTCACCCCAGGTTGCAACAGTGTGGCAGCAAGTATGTTCGCCCCCCTGCTTGTTATTTTCCTCTTGAGATCCCACCCATAGACACCCCCGCCTTTTAGATACCGGGTTCCCGTCACAACATCGCAGTCTGTGTCTTCTTGTTTCCTGGGGCACCACAAAGCAATTGAATTGGAAATGAAAGGCTCCCACCCAACATGCCTGAGGTGAGTGACAGAATTTCACAGGGTGCCCACCTGATGAAGTCTGGTATGTACTTGGGCTGCACAGCACAGCCAATATGTATAAGTTGGGCCACAACGTACAGAATCACAGAGAAGCAATATGACGGCTAAGTGTTACTCAAGAAAAGATGCGAATCCATTTTCCTGCATAGCATTCACCATCCTCTCCAGTAGCAAGTGGAAGTATCAAAAGCAAACTACATCAAATTCCTGAGAATGCAAAGGACATCAGGCCTTGGAGGTCGAGCTCACATACAGAGACAAGGCACACAAGTGCATGACATCTGACTGATTCTGAAATTAATTGTCATCAACAGCCAAGAAGTCACCAACACTAACCGATTCTCAGATGTCAAGAACAAAGAGCACAACCTCCATCATTGTGCCTTTCACTCACATGATGGGAAAGATCGGCGTCCATAATGATCACAAAGTGCCCCGTTGCATATTGGAGGCCATGAAGGTAGGCGGTTCCTGAAGGGTCACAAGAAAACACTGAAACTAGGGGGATACAGGAACAGTCTGTGGCAGCAACACTTTGCAAACAGGTTCATGGCTTTCTGGACTGTGGTCCCAGCTCAACGATTGACATTGGCTACAGAGTGCCTTCATACCCAGCCCAAGTTTGCCGGGCCGTGGCTTCAGGACCTGTCAAACATCAAACAAGAAAAGCCTTTTCAGCTGTCACGAAATTTCCAATTGTGTATGAGGACGTCTAGGATGGTGAGAAGTATTCATATGTATTCAGATATTCCACATGGACATCTTGCTCATCTCATGGAGAGGTTGCAGTGGAAATTCCACTGGTTGAATGCCCAGTCTGTGGAACACCATGCCACAATTGATCAATGCATTGAAACCACGAATAACTCACATACGTAATTTTCCATCGGTCGTGACGCATAAAATGAGAGTAAATCGACTGTCGAGGTGTTCATATCAGAAAAGGCGTGGGGAATTCGTACCACTTTGTCCTCCCCATAAGCCTTTTGCAGCTTCTTCACCACATCCTGCGTCCCATCTGGACTGTTGTCATCGACCACAATGACTTCAAATGACTTTCGCCTGCAAGGAGCCTCCACGATCAGGTTGTGCGGCCTACAGCCAGGGCCGTCGACGCTTTGAGCCATCGTGATGAGAAAAATCCAGTGCATGAGGAAGCATTTAACAGCTAGCTTTTCCTCAGAATCCTGATCGCCGAACATTGGAGCAAGGGTGAAGGAATTGTTGAAATTCGGTGCTTCAATCCGCTCCGATTGCTTGCCTGGTGAAGGCGGAAACTGTTGGGACTTACGCTGCCTCGAACGTTCTGTTCAGCAGCCACACCACCAGGGCGATGTTGTCTCTTTCATTGTACGTCGGCAGCAAAACTGAGTACTTGCTGCTTCCGCGCTCCGACGCCATGGTGGCCTGTGCGGAGTCCGGGGCGCGTGGAGCCACCCCCCCAGATTGCGCCAACCGGCCGCCGGGCATGCACTGCGAATGCAGCCCTCCAAAGATGGGGTCTCGCCCACATTGACCCACATTTTAGTATGTGGGAAGCTGCGGTCAAAAGGCATACCTTCCGATCAATCGCTTGAGTCTTCCCGCCCCCTTCTCCAGGCGCGGGCGTCGGCGCAATGACCGCAACGGCGCGCACGCGCGCCAGGATGGCGAGGGCAAAGAAAGCCGAGCTTGCGGGCGTGAGGAAGGAGATAAGAGACGTGGAGGCGTTTATTGCTCACCTGAAACGCAGGCGCGGGTGGCTGCCTTCCGCCCACGACAAGGGCGCCCCGCCGATCTGGACCCGGATCCACAGCGATGAGAACGGCTTCGCCAGCCTGCAGGACGTCGCCGTGGACGAGGCACCCTGGCTCAGCTCTCCGGAGTGCTGCAAGGCCATGCGCGCACTGTGGGCGAAGTGCGAGGCGTTGCTGGGCAATCTCAAGAGGCACCGCTACGCGGGGCCCTTCAAGCAGCCCGTGGACCCAGTGGTGAACGGCGCGCCGGACTACTACGACGTCATAAGGGACCCCATGGACCTGGGGACGGTTGCGGCGCGCCTGGGCAGCAAAGGACAGAACCGGCTGTACGAGTCGCCGCTTCAGTTTCGGGACGACGTGCGCCTCATTTGGGGCAACTGCTTCACGTACAACCCACCTGACGAGGAGTGCTTCAGCATGGGCAGCAAGCTGTCCGAGCTGTGGGAGCGTCGCTGGGCCGAGTCTGGGATTGAGGAGCGCCTCGACGAGATCGCCAAGCAGGTCTGCGGAGTCGCACCATGGGCTTGTTGCGTGCTCTCGTTGTTGTTCAAGCCAAGAAAAGCCGTCGCACCCCAGCAGCAGGATAGCATTGGCACATCCTGCACGAGGAGTCCGACTGAAGGCGGGGGCGGCAGAGTGTGGCCCCTGCATTTCCTGCAGAGAGGAACAAAGGCCTGCTTGGTACATTTTGGCAAATTAAAGGCGATCTGATCAGGCAGGAGTAACTCATGCTGAATCGCACCTCTTGTGTCGCAGTTTTACCACCCAACCCCGGATGAAACACGAGACACCTACACAAATATTGCAGCACCTGGGCTCAAAGAGGAGCAAATTGAGGCTGCAGACCATCAAACTGACATGCACGGTAAAGCAGAATGCCAGAAAGCCGATCTTTCCCATGTGCTTGCACTCGGCCAAGATCTACAGAAAGAGGTTGCAAAAATCCAAAAGGCACACGGCAAGGAGGTCGAAGGCTTTGTTAAACTCAGGACACTGTCAACAGAATTGGAGCACGCACCAACAGACGCGCTCAACCAGGTGGTTCAAGCAATGGGCAGCCAGTTTTCAGCCGAGACACAAACAGCCATTGAAATGAACGACCTTGGGCCTGGCGCCCTTCAGCGCATCATGGACATTGTTGGAACGACAAATGGCGCGCAGGAGCAGGCTGACGATGCAATGGTGGAGGCCGAGAAAGGTGACTGCGCGGTGCCCGCCTAAAGGGATCAGCACATGACACGACCTCCGCGAATTGGCTGTAACTGTCTGAAACAGCAACGCACCGCAGGGAGCTGGTCCTGAACGTCCGCGTCTCACTGCCCTCCACCCGCTGCCGCCAAACTTTTGTGGCCCCCCCACAAGAAACCATTTCAAGCGCGCCAGTGGATGCATGTCCATTTACGGGGCTTCATGACGCGCCCATTGACGCCCCGGCTGAGTGTGTACTCCAGAATGCCCAACTACCGATCGATCGGAATGCAAGAAATGTCCACCACCACAGCCAACGCCGATGGATACAGATGAGATCCGGCACATTGACGTGGAAAACCAGGTACCCGCTGCTTCTTGAGATATTGGCGCGCAATGTGGTGCGCAGCACATTGTTATGGGACGCAGGCACGTAGGTGTATGGCCCACAGGCACATTGCCACACAGGCATGCCTAACCATCTGGAGGGCTGAGGCATCTGCCCCCACATGCCCTTTTGAAAACACCTGAGACAGGATCTGCACAATACCAAGCTTCGTATGGAGCTTAGTGCCTCGTGGGGGAAAAGAGGGAGGAGGAGCAGGTGGAGGAGCCATTTCCGTCCACCATATTAGAAACTCCATATTCGATCAGTCTGTGCTGACTCCAGGCGTCATGCCAAGAATGCCAATGACACGCATCCACCTGTCGCTGGGTGTTCGAATTGCAAATTCTATTGGCAGTCCATTTTTGAAACCAACGATTTGTGAATGATGCATCTTGGCAGAACTCAGTACTGGACGCTTGCAGGTCTGCCCATCCAAGCACGGAACACATGGCGCCAATGATCTGCACAGCGATCCCTCCACTAACTATGACGATGGCAGGGTATCGGAAACTCTAGAGGGAAACGCCGAAACGATAAGCGATGAACTACGTAGAAAGACCAAGAACCAAAAGAAATTGAAGAAATCGACGTTTGTGGGCATTTTCCAAATCGATCGTCGCACCGACATGATTCAGGCAGTCAGAAACGACTTGCCTTCAAATGAAGAAGTTGAAGACGAAAGAGATGAGTTGGATCTGGCTCTGGAAGAATTCGAAAGAAACTACGTCGAGCCCTTTGCCAAAATCAACGATAAAACCGCACATGAAGGTTTGTCAATCGATGTATCGTGGTGGGATGACCGATGTGGCCACAGCGGCCTGCCATTGTGCTGTCCTGCAGCCAACGTAGGTGCTTGAGCGCCAGGAGATCTGCGTAATGCTTATGCTTGCATTTCGGAAATTTCCACAGATATTCGCAGTGGAAAGTGTTCCATCGAAGGAGATGATTAAAGAAATGAAACAGTCAGGAATCGGAGATCTAGGAACAGATAATCAATTCACGTCAAGGGGCAAAGGACATAACTTTTAAGCAACAGACAATGCCATCCGACGCGGCTCCACAGTTTATGCTTTCGCTGATTTTGTTCATGCAGGCTCAGAGAAACTGTGCACCGACAACATCGATTCTACCAAAATTCACGCATCGGTGCCTCCACAAGTCAACTCTCCAGATGGGAATGGAGTTCCGGACGCAAGAGAAGAAAAGGCAAATCAGGGTTTAATGAGTAGTTCTATGGTGAAATCCTTTCTTCAAACAGTGCAATCATGAATATCGGCAGTTTACAAGTCCTTGATGTGCCCACATTCACGCTCTCCCTCAGTTTCTCTTTGATTCAGAGGTCATTGCATACCCAATTTTAAATCACGGCATTGGATTGCATGAACATTTTAGATGCATTGAATGCAATGGTACGGCCGCAAAGGTAGGCAGTGGTGCCATAGGAATTTCATCTGTGCCAACAAACTATTCTTACCATAAAGCGTAATAATTGCAATTCCAACAGAAGGTTCAGAGTCACTGTCCGTTCCAGAGTTGAATTTTCTATTCAACCGGGGCATCACATATGGTGAAGCTTTAGCATCCCACAAAATTCCAGTATAGTTTTCTGATGACTACAACAGATTTGCTGTATCTTCCTCTAGAGGTAGGTTCTGATTCAAACCATATTCGCGCGCCACCATGTGGCAGCACAGTCATGGCTGCTCAGAGTGGGACTGCTTTTAGTTCATTCCACTACTTGTGGCGCATGAAATTGGCGCCATTTACTCTGGAATACCTTTGTTCCAAAGATGTGCAATGGTTGCGCGAGGAATAAAATTCGCGTCGATAGTAGATCTCAGAACCGAGATATGCCAATTCCGGACGTGCGGGCAAGGAATCCAGTGCTTTTGAAAGATCTGGGCCACCGTGGGGACAAGGAGCTGAGGCTGGCAGAAGGCATGGAGATAGTGCGGTGTGTTGACTTACCCCATCGACCGCCATTTCTTC